TTTAATTGGATGATGTTGGCTGCAGGTTTGTCACATATGGCCTTTATTATGTTGAGGTGTGTCCCTCTATTCCCACTTTGCTGCGAGTTTTTATCAAAAATTGGTATTGGATTGATATGATCATGTGATTTTTGTCTTTCAATTTGTTTATGTGATGTATCATGTTTACTGATTTGTGAATATTGTATCAGCCTTGCATCCCTGGAATAAATTTCACTTGGTCATGGTGTATGATCTTTTTACTATATTGCTGGATCCGATTTGCTAATATTTTATTGAGGATTTTAGCATCTATGTTCATCAGGGACATTGGTCTGTAATTCTCTTTCTTTGTAGTGTCTTTATCTGGTTTTGGAATTAGGATAATGCTGACCCCATAAAAAGAGCTTGGAAGTGTTCCTTCCTCTTTAATTTTTTTGAATAGTTTGAGAGGATAGGTGTTAGTTCTTCTTTGAATATTTGGTAAAATTCCCCTGTGAAACCATCTGGATCAGGGCTTTTGTTTGCAGGGAGTTTTTATAATTACTGCTTTAATTTCATTAATTGTTATTGGCCTATCGAGTTTTTCTGATTCTTCCTGATTGAGTTTTGGAAGATTGTATTTTTCTAGGAATTTGTCCATTTCATCCACATTGTCCAGCATATTGGTGTATAGATACTCATAGTATCTTCTTACAGTCCTTTGTATTTCTGTGATGTCAGTTGTTACTTCACCGCTTATGTTTCTGATTTTAATTGGGTCCCCTCTCTTTGTTTCTTGATGAGTCTGGCTAACTGTTGATCAATCTTGTTTATCTTTTCAAAGAATCAGCTCTTTGTTTCATTGATCTTTTGTATTGTTTTATTAGTCTCTATGTCCTTTATTTCTGCTCCAATCTTTATTATCTCCTCCCTTCTGCTCACTCCGGGCTTTTCTTTTTGCTCTCTTTCTAATTCTTTGAATTGTAGAGTTAGATGATTTACTACCATTTTTTCTTGTTTTTTGAGATAGGCCTGTAGAGCTATAAACTTCC